CTCTTGCCAAACGTGAATAGTGACAGTGATACACATATTCATTCAGATACATATATTTCCCTTCTCTATGAAATGACAACCGGTTCAAGTAATTCCTCGCGGATTGCCATTGTCATGTCTCTTATCTATTCTCATATCTATCTGAGATGGTTTGTAGGTCCGTGAGGATTACTATTCCATTCTCCCTCATTTTCTTCTTGAAAAATACAAAAGTGAAAAAAAAACGAAAATAATTGAAATAAAAACACAAGAAACTGCAAATTAGTATAGAATCACCGGCTAGTAGTACCTACCATCCCTCCTTCTCTGTTGCTTTCTCTTACTATCCTGGCCCTTACGTGTATGACCTGGTTCGATAATGCATAAAATGGATATCCGACACGGTGCCGAAGGAAACCTCACTGCAGCACGGTCGCTTTCGAATGCCGTGGGACGAACGTCGCCGGAAGATCGCCGCAGGCCTGAGGACCAGGAGTCGTTAGTGCAGGTATTAAGCCGCCCTGGATGAAGCGGAAGGGCGCCGCCTGCCAGGACGTCCTTAGATTCAGTAAAGAACCAGGAACTTGTCAGAGTAGGCCCCAGGATGCTATGGAAAAGCGACGCCTGCTTGTACGGCCGTAGATCGGTCAAGCACCAAGAGCTCGTCGGCGCAGGAGTAAGCTGCCCCCAGATACCAGAAAGGACACCCTTACCCAGATGCCCGTAGCCCCAGACGCAGGTTACGAGGACGTCTGTATGAGCACGAAGCCGAGAAGGACCTGGACGAGATCTGCGAGGACATGTAACGCCGCCGAGTATCACCCGGATGAGGACGATGAGGAAGTCCGGACGATCCGAAGTCGAGGAGGACCTAGGCGAGACTTTCGAGGGCGTGTGGACATCGAGTACGGATGAATTCACCGAGGACCAGAAGAAGAGGCCAACAAGGATGACCAAGAACAAGAACGCCAACACGATGACCAGTAGATCGGGTCCAATGATGAGTCACCCTTGAGGCAAATCAAAGACGCCTTGAGGACGAGGCGTGAGTAGGTGGCCGAGCGATACACCAGCTCATACGCCACGTGAGTTGCTCCCTCATGGGGTGAGCTAACACGTGGTACATAAATATAGCAAACTGCATGCCTTCACCCCATGCCATCGCTACACCCGCGGATCAAGGATATATCCGATTTGACCTCAGTCTCCTCCCAGAGAAAAGGCCCGGGCGAACTGAACTGACCTCACTCTCACACAGACGCGCTTCTCCACTGCTCTCTCACTCACTTGCTTCCTGCCTGCTGACCGGACCGATTACCGCCCCACAAGGCTGCGCCCTCGCTAGGGCTAGCTGGCCCCAGGCACCCCCAGCCCCAAGACTCGTATCATGTTCTATCAATAAGTGTGTTAAATTTTAAGAAATATAGAGTAAAGCCACATCAGTGTATTACTCTGCCCACCAGTATCTACATAGGAGGTTGATACCTCTTATACTCTCCCTCTCTCTCTCTCCTCTCTTTCTCTCTCCTCCTCTCCTCCCTCTCTCTCTCCTCTCTCTCTCTCCTCCTCCTCTGTCTCTCTCTCTCTCTCTCCTTCCTCCTCTCCCTCTTCTCTCTCTCTCTCTTCTTTCTCTTGTCCTCTATCTCCATATCTCTTTATGTAAAAGGTATTGCCTTCTACATTATTACTGGTGGGACAGAGTAACATTCTTGAAACAGCTAAATCTTCATTCTTATGAGTTGCACACACGTATAGAAATGAACACGATTCGAGACTGGTCAGCGCTGAGTGGAAACCGCGGTAGCGAGCCCTACTGAGGCCGTAGCGCGTGGAGGGTCAGGTTGTCTCTGTGTGATCTGAGGGGTTCATCCTTGGCACGAACCCCCGACACAGGAAATGTCGGGTCAAGGCAGGAGCGCGTCCCGGATGCATAGCGGGGGGGGGGGGTTATATGTTATATAGTGTCCTATCTCTGTCTCTCTCTTTCTCTCTCTCTCCTCTCCCCTTTCCCCTTCTCTCTCCTCTCCCTCTTTCTCCTTTCTTTTTTTCTCTCTTCTCCTCTCTCTTTCTCTTCTCTTCTCTCTCTCTCTCTCTCTCTCTTCTGGCATAGAGTAACACATGCTTGTCCCGGCATGGGTCCTCAAGATTCTAAACACTGGACGCCACCCATGCTGCCGGGGTCGAAAATAAAGCGACCCAACTTGACCTCTCTTGACCTCTTATTATTACCTCTCTCTCAGACAGTTCACACAGAGACAGCCTGACCTGCTGACCGGACCGCTCACCCTTCGTGCAGCTGAGTCCTAACTAGGGCTTGCTACCACGGGCACCACCAGCACTGTCGTTTCGTATCGTGTTTATTTCTACTCGTGTGTAAACTCTCAAGAATAAAGAGTCAACCATTTAAAGTATATTACTCTGCCCCACCAGTATTAATCGAGAAGGTTAACACCTTTTATAGCTGGTAGCAGCGGTAGTACTTTCAACCTTTTGGCTTAGACACGATTACTCGCCTCCGAAAATCCGCTCACCGTCACCATCGATATGAAATATGTGTTCAACCGTGCAAAATGTGCAATCGATCTCATGTTGGCTTGCTGGTTAAAAGTTCTAACGGCGAAAATTTAAAATCTTTACGGTAGCAGGGAATGGCAAAGCTCTCTCTCTGTCAACCATCTCGATCTGAGGTCAGGTCCTGTGAACAGCCGTGAGAACACAGAGACATGAGAACATAAATATCGTTCATTATTAAATAATTCCTTCTCTCGTTTTTAGAGATTTATATAGTTTCAACTACAACGAATTCAATCCCTTGTGACTCGCAATTACTTACAAATTCTATGTAATCCATTTTCTTCTTGAACGTTTCGTTGATTGTGTTGATTCACTCGTGTTTTAGACTCTTTTGGTTCATTTTATTCTCTTACTGATTCCGTTATTCGCATTCACGAACGGTACATATAATTCATTTCTCTGTAGTGAATAATTTGCCCCCTCCCCGACCTCACGTTCCTCTTCTTTCGTTC